CCTCTGCCATCAACTATCACTCCATCCCCCTTCTGCCATCAACTACCATCCTACTCCCCCTCTGCCATCAACTATCACTCCATCCCCCTTCTGCCATCAACTACCATCCCATGACCCCTCTGCCATCAACTATGATCCCACCCCCTCTGCTATTAACTACTATCCCATCCCTCCTCCGCCACCAACTACCATTCCATCCCACCTCTGCCATTAACTGTCACTCCATCCTCCCTCTTCCATCAACTACCATCCCATCCTCCCTCCGGCATCAACTACCATCCTCTCCCCCTCTGCCATCAACTACCATCCCACCCCACCCTCCCCCCCTCCTCTCTGCCGTCAACTACCATTCTTTCCCTTAAATATCATAATGATATTATAAAGCCCCTTAAATATTATAATGATGTTTACTGAGAATGTCATGATCGTATATCTTATGATTCTCACATTTTTCCAGGATTCATTTTGGATACCCCGTTTTCTCCCCCTCCCCGCTCCTTTGAAGGTGCCCAAATTGATCCTTCAAGCCTTCTCCTCGAGCAAAACTGAAGTTTCCCTCTCGGACGCAGTAAAATCGCATTTTAAGGGAATTCCTGAAACCGGTCTTGATGTCACACTTCCTCGAAGCATTTGGCTGTGTTCCATGCGAACAGATTCTGATTTTGCTTCAATGCCAGCATTTTTTCCAAGAATCTATCCTCAAAAAATCGCTCTCATTAGCTCTACTAGTTTTTTTTTTTGTTAGTTTATTAATAAACTCAAGTAATTTAAAAATATATACAACAACCGGTAAAAAGGTCATAAAACAACCATCGTTTCGATGTGAACGAACACAGGTGCTAAGATAAGATGAAAACAACTAAACAAACTAGTATGTTTCTACAGTCAACTTCACGTTTCACCATGAAGGAGGGGAAAGGGACGCGGGAGGGGGGAGGGGGCTATCAAAATTGCTCATTCCTGGCCACAAAATCTGGTATCCACTTGTGAACATTTTCATATTCTGAAGTGCGAAAAAAAAACCTTGTTCACAGCGAAGAGATGAAATTACTGTCACTTAACTGCCCAAAGCAAAGCAGAAAATTCAGAAATCCAGAAAATTTTTTGAATTTTTTAACAAAATTCGCCATTTCCTATTATTTTCGGCAGCAAAACCGTAAGTATCGAGAGTTCCTAATCGTTTGGCTTAACAACTTGGTGGACTATAAGTAATTTAGCTATATCTACGTGGCACTAAAGCTCGATTACAACAATCCAGGTAACCTTCATAATATATGTAGAATGTTAACTTGCACTGTGTGGCTTTCAAAACTACAAACTACAATAAAGTTACAAACTAACATTTTGCATGCTCATGCTTATGCGTAGCTGAAAATCGAAAAAAAAAATCCACTAATAAAATCCACTAAGAATGAACACTTTTCCGGACAACTTCCATTACAGGCTTATTAAGAACAGCCGGGCAATTAGTACGATATTTCAGGTTAACAAAGTTATTGGAATTAGGCTTATATCTTTTGAAACTTCCGAGGAATTTCGTTTTCCTTCCGAGACTTTCTAACTGGCTTATAAAGCAACAAGATCGTCCGGGCAATCAGTGAGGGCATCCCGTGTTAGGGATGTTACTAAGACTAAGCTAATTTTTATCAAACGAAATTCCCTAGAAAAATTTAGTTTCTTCCGGAACGTTCCAGGGTTGTGGTACCTAACATATAAGCAGGTTTATAACCAATCACTGAACCATCATCACCGATAATTTTCAGTGCTTCATTTTTACACGTGGTATCTCGTTCACCCAGTGAAGTATAGCCCAAATCATACAGCGGGCAGTATGGGATGCAGAGACCGCGCAGTGCTCGCCATACATCATTATAGCTCCATTCCAGCACTGGACAAATCCTGAAAATCCAAAATTTATACAAAAACAGTTGCATTATAGTTCCGAAAAGTGCTTAAAGCGGTCAGTCCTGAACTCATCAGCGTCAGCCTTCCCGCTGTGGGCAATTATATGCTTAAATGACTTCGAGAACTCAAAGTGAAGATAAATAAATCCCATTTCTGAAGGGGTTCTAAAAGTAACTGTGAGGGGGGGGGCGGAATGATCACCGAATGGTTTCCAACTAAGAAACTCTATGTGGAGCAGGGACTAAGTACAAACTCGAGACATTTAGCTTGAGAAAGAAAGGAGGAGCAAAACTGAGTTGGTGCATAGATGCTTCTCCGTGGTATTTGAGGCTCACACTAACATGCCCACAAACTTGAGAAAATATGAAAGAAGAAAATTCTTGATTTCTTTAATGCACTAAACCAGAAAGTCTTTCTGTTCAAACTTCTGCCAAAAATTCCTGAAAAATCGATTTTACAGGATTCAAAAAAAGGGACCAAATAAGCTTCGTCTTGTTACAATTTCCACGAAGTAAATTGGCTTTGAGCTTAAAATAAATTCTTTGAAATACAATCAAGCATGTCAACACATTCCGATGTTTTGAAACAAAGCGAATTTTTCTTCAACAAAATCCTGGATTACTGTGACTGACAAAAATGATAAGATAAATAACCTTAAGTAGCTCGGCCAATCAGCATCCGTGAACTGACATTTCGATTTCATATGACAACCACCAGGATCAGTTGCACGACTACCCATGAAGATACATTTCACTTTGGGCCTCATTTCTTTGAGCTGCTGAAGGCCTGCTTTCAGTGGGCCTGACATTTCCAGCACCACTATATTATATCTGTAACAGAATGCATCCATAGCGCTAAATCAATCAGAATTTTCGAGATTTTACATCTTGAAACTTTGAATAAACACAGTTACGGATGAGAAGGTAAGATACTCAGCACAAAGTAATCTTTTTACGAAAACATTATTTTTTTAAAGCAAAAAACATATTACATTATACCAAGAATACCAAAACTGCTCGGGCTATCAGTGTGGGTATCCTCTGTTAGTGATGATGTTACTAGGATGCTCGCACACGCCAAGTGCAACTATGCCAGGTTCTTCGATTCAGGTTGCACGCCTTCAGTTAATACTCGTCGCAATACATTATACTAACTTATTTATATTAAATTATAAACCACTGATATGTGCGCATACAATTGGTATTCTTGGCATGAATTGTGGATTTTAAATTTTTTAACACAAAAAAATTTATTTTGACTTAAAAATTTGGACTTATTTCAATTTATTTCAACACAGTTCCTTTCAACTTAAGAAATACATTACACCACTCTGACATTTTTTGATATAATAAATTTAATTAAATGCATAGTTTTTTAATTTTTTCTTTTGTTCAACCGCTGTTCCATCGGAGTATCTCTGCCACAACCTCTTGATGACTGTTGTGATCGAAATAACTGTTAAAATAACGTATTTTTCTCTCCCTTTTTTTTGCTTCCCCGAATATTCACAGAAAAACTGGCTATCCCATCAGAGGAGTCGAATCCTCCACCTACTGTACGACAAGATTACTACTTCCCAATGCTAGCAGGCAATGCTGAACATAGGATCATGAAAACGAACCGTTTAGCAGTATCAATGATGAACTGATTAACTTCAGGGAAGCAGTCACCACATACGATATGACAGCCTTGAATTAAACGCTTCGGACTATATTTCCTGAAAACCGCTTTTGTCTCAACTGCTTTTTTTTGCTTTTCCTTGGATCTATCAAAATTGAAAAATCTCTCCATGATAAGCTGGGGAACCACGTTATCAAATGCAGCTGATGAAAGTAAATATTCTTTTGAGCTCTTGGCATTGAACAAATACATGCACAGCTATGCTAGGATTTCCTGTCTTCAGCAAACTGCCCCTTACCTCTGCCCACCTTTTTCCACGCCCTCCCCTCATTCCTCTTCATCCCCTTATGTCCTCCTATTGACGGATCCAGTCCCCCCCCCCCTCCCCTAGGAGCATTGTCAGTCTCAGTTTAGTGTTCACTGGTGGGAGCGGAGGAGAGGGGGGAGGGTGTACTGGCGAAGAGAGAAGGGAAGGTAGGAAGTCGCTCCCCTCCCCCCTCCCCCCTTCCAATCCCCAAGCAGACCAGCCTGGATCCGTCTGTACGCCCTCCTATTCCCCTTAAAATGAATTTTGAATTTCAGGAAACTGACAAATTCAAATTCTGCCAGTTGACGTAGACGAAACTCCGCAAACGGTAATTCAGACAAAAAAATCGACTCCGAAAACTCTAACCCTCGTTTCTGAGGTATCGAAATTCCTTGGGGCCCAATTCAAAACATTACAAACATTGGTCCTGCATGTGTTTAGTACATCGAACAAGTATGCGTGTACTGCTGCGGCCCAGTAGCTCACTGAGTTACACATGTGGTATTTGCACTGACTTATGTGTTATACACGGAAAACTCATGCCAACAGGGTCGATGCAAAAATTTTGACTTTTTACAACCCTTTCATGGTTCTACCGAAATTATCTAACCTGTCAATAGCAATGCGTAACAGATGCAAGACGAGTGTACAATCTTTACCGCCATTAAACGACACCGCCATTTCCTCGAGACTGAAAATTTCTCAGACTGAAAAATGAATGGACTAAGAGCATAACTGATGTCAAATATCTGTTATAGATCGACACAAAAGGACATGTGATATGTCGCTTATCACAAATCGTAGAAGGAATGTGGTAATTTTACCATTTCTTTCCAAAAAACAAGAGAAAAAAGGATGAAACAAATGATAAAACTGCCAGAAAGTTGGCCATCAGAAGATGCACTTACTTTTATAGCAATCACGAAAAAGTCGAAATCTACGATAAAGACGTAAACTTGTGTTGCAATAAAAATAATAGCCAGCCAAAGTATCCGTCGAAATTCGGATGAAAATTTCAATAATCACTTAATTTGAGGTAACTGTGTTGTTTGGAATGAATGTCTGGGAATTCCCTTTCAATAAGATACCTCGACTTAGTCTAATAGTGGCAAGTTTAGGATGATTTGGTGGTGCTCAATTTACTAAGAGTCGGTAGAACCATCGTGTTAGCAATCCCCTCAAGAGACAAAACGAACGTCAAAATCGCCAGTAAGCTGACCACCAGGAAAAGCAATTGGGAAAGTTGCCAGATGCACTATGCGGAACCGGGATATAAAATGTATTTGAACAAAGCCGTTCAACGGGGAAATCTTTCAAATGGGATGACTTACGCATTTTCGGAGACGATTTCATCAACACATTTCATCGCATCATCCAGCCGATTAACAAATTCACTTTTTGGGTCGCTTTTCAATATTCGTTCTCGAAAATCATTGAACTTTTGTACCGTATCGACCCATGGAAATTCATCGAAATAAATTACTTGATCTGAATGAACTACTGAATGTCAATGCTGACTGGATTAACGGTACTTTAAGCCAAACGAGAACATTCTAGAGCAAAACTGAAGAAGTAAATCTAGATGAGTACCGGAACTATTGGCAAAATCATGTACATGCGTAAAACACACCACATATATCTACACACACATACATACATACGCACACAAAACAAATTGCACCTTTTAATGTGGCTTTCAAGTCTTCCACAACTTTCTCACCGACATCGGCTAATTCGCTTTCAACCACTAATTTCGTCTTATAATACCTGCAAAAATGACAGAGTGAATAAAGCTAGTATGAAGAATAATTATGACAATTATCATGATTCAGTAACTCAAACTTCAGACGGAATGGGCGCCATGTCCATCAGCATGCTGACCACCAGGCAGCAAAGCACTAGCCAAAGCAATCGGAAAAGTTAGCTGCACAGTTGCAGAACCAAACTACGTATGAGCGGCTAATCAAAGTATCAAAAACTCCTTGACTGCCAGTGCGATTCTCCAATACTAAGAAGTGGGCATACGTGGAGGTAGGGACTGTAAGCCCACAAATTTGAATTTAACTGTCCCTAGTGGTACTATACGCTTGCCTGTCCAAATTTTCAGTTTTTATAAACTCTCATAACAGTATAACTATTAGGCGATACAGAAGGCAACATGAGAGAGGAAAAGCCTAAGAAACAGAAGCTGAAACAAAAACGTCGCAAAGTGCCAATAATGCAAATAAATTCGTTCAAGTTTTACTCCAAAATTTGGCTTTTAATTTCGAAAAAAAAAATTGGAAATGCGATATTTGCATTTCCAAAACAAGGAAGTGGACTTTATTCTTTTGAAGAAACGAGTGTGTTTGGAAGCAATAAGATAAAAAAAAAGAAACATTCATAAAATATGTATCATCAACGATGATAAGGGATAAGTAAACAAAGTCCGGAAACATGAAAATTTATGAAGCACTGAGCAAACACTGCAAAATTACGTGCCATTCCGTAAGCTCAAAAATATTTCAAGACTCAAGCCGGCAATTCTGATACCTTTAAAACTTCCCCCCTCTCACCCTTCAAGTCCTCCACCTCCCAGTCTTCAAAAATATCTTGGAAGTACCGCATAATTTTTTGTGTGGCTGGAGTTTTTTTTTTTTTCGGGAAATATCAAAGTGCTATGTCGAAACAATAAAAAAAAGCTCATTACCAGTTCAAAAATAATCACTGTCTTACAATCTTTAAGCTAGTAAACTTTCCAGAAGAAACGAACGTTAGGACCGCCAGCAACAAGCTGACCACCAGGCAATGTAGCATTGGTCACAACAACTGGAAAAGCTGCTAAACCGCGCACAGCTGAAAACCACACTAAGAACTGCAGCTAATCAAAGTAACAATGAAATGGCATATTTTTCCAGGGAAATTTCTACGAATTTACCATAAATTTGCCCCAACACTACCATATTTCCGACCACGGCTAAAACTCTGCAGCAAACCCGAAATCTGGAATATACGCAGAAGTGCAGGCGACCTATCTATGTTCGATTCTATCAAGTTAAAAACTAGGAACGGAGCATTTCAAAGCTGGTAACATTTCAATATATGGCATACTGTGTTGGATTCTGTTACAAAAAAGGCAGAAAAGAACGAACGCATTGTTGGTGACTGGATATGAGCCAATGGATACGGCGTTATCGTATTTCTTTGCAATGTCCATCATAACATCCGAGAATTGCAGTTCACTGGTTTTGATATGTAGTGTTCTCGAAAAAAATGGTTTGATTGCTTCGGATGGAAATATTGAAGCCTGAAATATTTTCACGCATAAAGCATGCGAATGCTCTCTTCCTGTCCTAAACGAAACCCTCTATTTGCAAAAGAATAGGGACCGAAAGGGGATTGAACCATTCATCTTCACAACTGGAAGCGACATGTCAGTGCTGCCTCTGCAAGCAGCGAACGGTTTTTAGTCACCGGCTTTTTATGGGACTTCCGCGACATACTGCTCTGCTTCGTCTCGCCCTACCCTCCTTTCACCTCGTTTTGGAGTTCAGAAAAAAGCTAAAAGCGATTTTGAATCCTAGATTTGCTGGGGAAAAAGTAGTACCAATTTACCACCGAAACGAATCAGTGAATAATGTACAGCCTGATTTAAGTGACCTGCTCAATAATGTATTTTGATCGAACGCTCAGGACTGAACAGGCGCTGTGGGCAATCACATCAGTCTAGCCAGAAAAAGGCCTAATTCGTAAACTTAGTGAAAATGACTCTTAAAGCCATGTAGCTCTATTACTGTGTAATATGACAATGATGTACCCATGAAAAAGGGAACTCTAGCTAAATCTTCTCACTTGCTTTCAGAAAAAAAAACCACAAATTCTTCACTGAAGTGTGAAGATTTGTAAAAAATTCGACCTATATTCTGTTGAAGGACGATGAATCTAGGGCACGAAGCATAAATGAGAAATCTGAATGAAATGTGAATCCCGGTCAAAGAAATGGGTATATTTAGGGTTAGCATCCGAGTCTTTTAGCTTTTCAGCTTCCATCTTGAGAAATCTCGAAAGAATCAGAAAAGAAAGGGGAAATAAACAAAGAAAAACTAAATTTTAAGAAACTACAAAGGTTTTGCATGCGATTCTGGTCAGGGGACTGCTAAATGCAAGTGGTACCCGAAGCTATCGATTTACAAACGTTTAAGATTAAAAAATCCCAAAAGAATCAGAAAATAGAAAGGAATTACAAGAATAATACAGGAAAATAGATATCCAGTAACGTCATGAA